TTTAGTATTCCGGTACAGAGAACAGATAATGGTGATCGTCTGCTGCAACTTTGCTCAGACAATCGTTTATTTTTAGAAAACTCTAATTTTAAGCATCGTCTAACATGGCGACCCCCTGCACCAAACCAACGATGGACTCAAATAGACGATATTGCCATCAGTCATCGTTGGAGAGGGTTAATAGAAGGTTGTCGCTCATTCTGGAGTACCTATTTGGACTCCGACCATGCCCTAATACGAGCACGCATCTGCTTGCGCCTCACTGGACGCAAAAGAGCCACACAAAAAAGACTCATTAGAACTGAACTGAGTAACGAGAAAAGCAAAAGTAGGTTCCAAGAACAGCTGAGGTCACACTTAGGTAGTTCTGAAAACGAGGCTGACCCCGATGTTGCTTGGAAAGTTATACGAACAGCTGTCGAAACAGCACTGACATCTATTAGTGACTTAAACCAAAGGGTTACTAAGAAACAATTGATTTCTTCAAGGTCTATTGCACTGATGGATTCTCGTAAACTCATCCCATCAGGTTCAGAGCACGATGAAGAGCGTGAAGAAATCAGATTTAGGTTAAGCAAAAGTCTAAGGAACGATCGTGAGCAGTGGTGGGCAACGAAAGCAAAACAGATGGAAAAGGCGACTAATAAAAGAAACTGGAATTAATAAGTCAAGTGTAAGTCAGACTATCTCGGAGAAAGACTACACTTATCTGCTCCCAGTCCAGACCTTTAGAACAATGAGCAGAACACTTTAGAGAACAGTTCGTTTGGCCTTCAGCTACTCTACAACCATCCACCATTCCCAGGCAACGTGAATGGAGCATGAAAGTAGGTCCCCAACCCTAATCAAAGTTCAAAAGTCTATAGCAATCTGAAACAAGGAAGAGCAGCTGGTTCAGACAGATTGGCTCCAGAGGTCTTTAAGTATGGTGGTCCAATTTTAACGATTAGGTTGACCAATATTCTAGCTAAAATCTGGGAGTTAGACGTTATCCCATCTAACTGGTCACAATCGCTTATCGTCCCAATATTTAAGAAAGGGTCAAAATCATCCTGTGACAACCATAGAGGGATTAGTTTAACTAATATAGTATCTAAAATACTAGCCTCGATAATTATCGGACGCCTAACTAAGACTCGTGAGCTGCAAACACGTGAAAATCAGTCTGGCTTCAGACCTGGTCGTGGCTGCATCGACCGCATATTCACCATTCGTCAGGTTCTAGAACACATGCATACTTATTGGCTTCCGACAATAGTGGTCTTCCTTGATTTAAAAGCAGCGTTTGACTCTGTTAACCGAGAGGTTCTGTGGCAGTGTCTGTCATTGAAAGGCGTACCTCAGAAGTACATAAATCTTGTGAAAGCTCTTTACTCGAACACTACTAGTCGAGTGAGAGCTTATGGCGAACTGTCATCTGCTTTCGCAACCTCAAGTGGTGTCCGTCAAGGCTGTCCACTTTCTCCATTTTAAACTTCATTATAAACATACTAATGGAAATAACGCTCTCATCGACTGAATTCTTGGGCATTGACCTACTTCCAGGAGGTCCACATATCGACTTAGAATACACAGATGATATAGTCCTGTTTAGTGAAGACGCTGATAAAATGCAGAGTCTTTTGGTAGCACTGAGCAACAATGCCAGAATGTTTGGGATGTGCTTCTCTCCCTCTAAATGCAAGTTGTTGCTTCAGGACTGGTCTGCGTCAACACCTGAACTAGGGATAGGGAGTGAAGTAATCGAACGCGTTGATAACTTCACTTATCTTGGAAGTCTGATCAGTTGAAATGGGTTGGTGTCTGACGAAATCTCAGCATGGACTCAAAAAGCTCGTTTGGATTTTCCCAACTTACGTCATCTATGGCGAAGGCGAGATATCCGTCTGGGATCACCGGGTAAGTAATAGTGAGGTTAGACGCAGGGTATTAGGGAATGATGGTAAATCAGTTGATGAGGTTATGAATCTTCATCGACTGAGATGGTTGGGCCACGTGCTGCGTATGCCTGAACACCGATTACCGCGACGCGCAATGGTAACCGGTGTTAGGGATGATTGGAAGAAAGTTAGGGGCGGCCAAACCAAAACGTGGCATCAGTGCTTGAAGTCACTAACTTCTGGTCTGAGCCATGTTGGTAGATGCAGACTACCTGGTTGGGGTCCGCGTGACTATCGTAACCAATGGTTGAAGACTCTTGGTGACATGGCTCAGAATCGATCACAATGGCGTCGGTGTATTCACTCTCTGTCTTCCTTTAAACTAAGAGACTGAAATCGCTCCATATCCCTCTTTCTAGGAACTAATTCTTTCTTCCTGTACTATCTCCTTATATGCAATCTTTCTTCTATATATTACCACCACAGAATTAACTACTTCTATGAATCCGGTGTTCATTTTGCTGTGCTAATGCGGTATGGCAACTTAGACCGATGCATATACGTGCCTCGTCCTACGTTGCAGCTGACTGACTGTAGGTTGTTCAAAACCCGAGAAGGATTGACTCGCGAGGAGCAGGCTGATTTTCGTTCTGGTCGATGATGTGTTGATCATATCTTCACCCTCGGCCAAGTGTTAAAACACCGTCATACTTATCAAAGGCCAACAATCGTAGTGTTTCTTAATATCAGGGCTGCCTTTGATTCGTTGGATAGGACTGTTCTCTGGGATTGTCTATTGAAGAAGGGTGTGCCTGAGAAGTTTACTGACATCTTAGAAGCCCTATACACAAACACCTCAGGCAGAGTGAGGGCATACAACCACCTTTCTCCATTATTCCATTCGAGCAATGGGGTTAGGCAGGGTTGCCCAATCTCACCATTCCTCTTCAACTTTGCCATCGATGACATTCTGGAATCAGCTCTGATGGATGTAAGTAATGGTGGTGTAGATCTGTTGCCTGGAGAAAGACTTCTCGACTTTGAGTATGCGGATGATATTGTCTTACTGTGCGAGGATACCTATGCCATGCAATCCGCACTTAATTAGTTGGCAATCAATGTCCGTAGGTATGGTATGTGCTTCGCACCTTCGAAGTGCAAAGTACTCCTACAAGACTGGCAGGATTCTAATCCTGTACTCACTCTGGACGGTGAGCAGATAGAAGTGGTCGAGAAGTTCGTGTATCTAGGTAGCTGCATAAGTGCTTGTGGTGGCGTGAGTGATGAGATGAATGCACGTATAGTGAAAGCCAGAGCGGCTTGTGCCAATCTGTGCCACCTTTGGCGCCTTCGTGATGTCAGTCTGGCTGTAAAAGGTCGGATCTACAACGCGACGGTGAGAGCAGTTTTGCTCTATGCTTGTGAAACCTGGCCTCTCTAAGTTGAGGATGTTAGACGACTCTCTGCGTTCGATCACCTCTGTCTCCGAAGGATTGCTGACATCCAGTGGCAACACCAAGATTCACTTATTGACTTAGAGTATGCCGATGACATGGTTCTATTTGATGAAGACATTGACAAAATACAGAATCTTCTGACCACTATAAGCAACAATGCAAGCATGTTCGGCATGCGATTCTCCCCCCCTTGAAATGCAAAATGTTGCTTCAGGATTGGGTTGCATCATCACCCTAACTAATGATAGGAAGTGAAGTAGTTGAGCGTGTCGACTGCTTTACTTATCTTGGGAGTCTCATCAGCCCTTGTGGTCTGGTGTGTAACGAAATCTCAGCACGGATACAGAAGGCTCGACTGGCTTTTGCCAACTTGTGTCACTTATGGAGTAGGCGATACATCCGTCTACCAACCAAAGGACCGGCTTACTGCTCAGCAGTTTGTACTGTCTTACTATATGGCAGTGAAATGTGGCCGGTAAGAGTAGAGGATATTCGTAGGTTACTAGTATTCGATCATAGGTGTCTTCGAAACATTGCTCGCATATCATGGGACCACCGAGTAACTAATGCAGTTGTTAGGAAATGGGTACTTGGTAAGGATGGCAAATCAATTGATGAAGTAGTGAAACTTCATCATTTGAGATGGCTGGTACACGTGTTACGTATGCCAAACCAACAACTGTCCCGACGTGCGATGTGTTATGGTGTAGGTTGGAAGAAAGCTAGGGGCGGCAAAACCAAGACATGGCACAAATCCATGAAGTCACTGACAGGTGGACTGAACTATGTTGGTAGTTGTAAACTACCTGGTTGTGATCCGTGAGACGATAGCAACCGATGGTTAGAGACCTTGAATAACATGGCTCAAAATCGTTTGCAATGGCGCAGGTGCATCGACTCTTTGTGTTCTCCCGAATTCTTATCTTCTAGATTCTTCGGGTCACATTTTTTCTCTTTCCAAATTTATTTCACTGGATTATATTCCTTGAATAATACCTTCAAACCCTAATGATTCCGATTACTGCTTATACTATCACTACCTCTACCGCTATGGGATTTCAATCGACCACTGCATCGCTGTGATAATGTGGTATGGCAATTCGAACTGATGTACGTACGCACAAAGTTCTACGTTGTTACTAACTGACTGACAACTTGTTTGTATATCTTTTATTTTTAATGCTGTAATACAGTAATTTATGGTGCTTGGGATTTAAAGTATTGAAACCAATTTTTCGTCTTAATACTCTCTTTGAGAGCACTCTGTATGGACCTTTTAAGTTACTGGGTAACTATTTATTCTTTGTTTTCCTGTAAATGTATGTCGTGCTAGTTCGGATGCATGACTAGTTAGTATTCATTTGATGTCTTCAGATGTAAGCAGTCTCATAAAAATTTTGTCTTTGTACTCTTTACAGGTTATCCGTCCTGTAAGGTGGGAGCAAACATTGTATGCACTATATGATCGCCCACCAGATGTCCCTTTTCCTCGTACAATTGAAGCCGGTCCTGGTCGACAACTTGGTGCGATGTTGAGGATGGTCAGTCGTAGAGCATTTGATGGTTACAGCTCTGTGGACGTGTAGATTTGTCATTCCCTTCAGTCGCATTTAATGTATACCCATGTATATACTAACCAACATGTACAGCTAAGCAAAATATATTAGCAAAATAAACTCAAGGGTTTTATTTGGCGATAAATTATTTAGTGATGTAATAATTTTTTAGAGGTGTAGTTTATTTGTGGATTATTTTTTCACCTCTATAAGTTACAATATTCTTTTCAGTTTCCCATATTTTAACTTCATAAAGTATATTATTTGGGACAGCATTGACTAATTGTGACCATATGAAAACTGCTAGATTTTCCGTAGTTGATACAATATTACTCCTTTTAAAATATTCAACATCTTCATCGATATTTTTATGATCTAATAGGTCAAGTACATGTTTTTGAATAACTGATTTCAAGTCACTTATGTTCATAACCATACCGGTTCTTTGATCGATAGGTCCTAAAACGGTGACTTCTAGTTTGTAATTATGACCATGCCCCATAGGATTATTACATTTTTGAAACAATTTAACATTTTCTTCATTACTAAGATGTTGTGAATGAAGACGATGACAGGCGGAGAATGATTCTACTCTCGTGAGGTAACATAGAGCACACATCTGTGAAGTATTACATGTATATAGTCCTGTTAAAAGAAACAAAAGTTAGCAATAATAGTCTAGCATGAAATCAACTACCAATATTTGGAAGTTTCCTCAGTGACTATTATTTTCATACGATAAAATGACTGCACAACAAAGGGAGTCCTCATCATTAGTAATACCGAGAAAGCCAAATGAGTGACCGTTTTTACTTGAGTCAAGATGTAGTTACGTAAAGCAACTAGTAACAAGAAGAAATTCCACCGTTCCGTAGTGTACAGAAAGCAAGTAATCCTTGTTCTTATTGTGTAAAACGTGTTAGCGTACAAACCCAGTGACTAAATTTATTTCTACTTTATTTGAATACATAAATATTGGTACAAGAAGGCAGTGAACATTATATACCACGCTTCGTCATTCGATTTGTGTGAGGGCTGTGATATTGCCCGAACGCCCAAATCCATAGAACTGACAATTAATAACCCAGTCGCCAGCAGACGTGTCTGTGGCATCAAGTGAATGGTTTATAAATGTGCAACGCTCTACACATATGGAAGGTTCATTAATGAAATAAGCGCGTTGAGCCGGCAAGACTATAATCTGGGGGCGAAACAATCACACTTCAAACAACATTTGCGGGAATTCTGCGCAGAATCTACTTGCCCCTATGGCTGAGTAGCGTTACGATGTCGATTCGTGATGAAAACCCTAATGTTTCACATTCATTTACAATTTTATTTCGAGTCTAATAATTGGTTGATGCGTCTCAAGATTAATCTAGTACCACCCAAATGTCGCTTATGAGTTATGGCTTCTACAACATTTTCTTTCAAAGTGTTTTCAGACTGGGAAGAAGCCGGTTCCTTCACTACATATCCCATCGCACTATAGCTCGAGTGCCATAGACCAGAAAGAAGAACAATTGCTGATAATATCTAGGAGTAAGCTGACTTTTCCTATCAATAGGGGTTATAAGTTCATTGAAGAGTTGCGCTCCACCCACACCCCTGCCGAATTGTGTTACAGATTTATCTCATTTTCAATTCTGTTTGGAAACAAAACGGGAAATGTCGAGGGAGTGATAAATGGCCTACCAAGTAATGGTTTTACTCAATGAATCGAAAGCGAAGCACAATAGGTTTGTTTGCATTTGACTTTAAACCAAACATACCAGATAGACCAGTTCCACGAAGTCACAGGACTACAGGAAAGCATCAGTTGGGAATCGCGTGGTTGGATTCCCACTTAATTATTCTTACAGCCGAGTTGCAGACAGTCTGCCATATGTGCATGGATAGTTATTAACTAAATACTGTTGGATTGTGGAATCATGTAGGAGTAAATATTATTCATTCTTAAACATCGTAAGTCGTCTGTTAAGTTTGGACTAGAATAAAGAAAAACGGAATTTTCTCATGAATCTCGATGATATCGTTACGTGCATAAACAACCTCCGATATATTGCTAAGATTTCTCCGAAGCACTTCCAACTTCCCAACATCCCTTACACAACGCGTAAGATCATTTAAAATCTCGATTCCTGTTTTGTTTATAGTTATTTATACACCACTTACGTTGGTAGTTTTGTCCTTGCATTTCTAGTGTCACTGTATAGTATAACTTTTTCAAGTTCTTCCAACGCTAAATCCATGACTCTCAGAACATCAATATTTCCCTGAACAAGAGGTTGAACGGCGTCCCTCTCAGCATTCAATAACCTTTTCGAGCTGTCAGTGGTCACGAAGATATTAGTATATAGGTGGTTATGTAAGACACTAGAAAGTACTATTTCGTATTACCCAGTGATATACTCTACTCTTATTTTAAATTTACTACCCAAAATAACACCAAGTTTTAAAGAAGACAGAAATTTGTCCCATGTTACTCAGTCCGTGACCTCGAGTAGGACGCAAGATCCCGAGATTGAATTGGTACTCCGCATATGCTACTTCATTGTATCAGACCTATTAAAGCGTCTCGAAGTAACAGTACGTGAAGTATTGGGCTCCTGAAACGCAGGTTTCATACTAGTTGTCTTCATGGATCCATCTATAAATGTGTAGCATGGTGATTCGCTTTCTAGGCCAGAGGTGGTTTAATTACAGTGTAAGCATGCAGAACACGAAGTGTGACCTAAGCAACCAATTGGTTCTCCTTCATTAATGAAGGAGAACTTGGAGGAAATAATTGTGAAATGTCGACTTCTGAGTTAGGCTACTTAAGGCAGGGAAAAATAGACAATTTAGCGTGCATTTTGGTGAGAAAGCGACAACTTTCTCGCCTTTATCTCCTCTTTTGATTGCTTAGGAAGGATGCTGAAAAAGGGAAGGCATTTTGATGTTCAATCTCTGAGCGACGCTGGATCGACCTTGGGAAAGCCACCAACTACCTAGAGTCAAAAGGGGGCTATGGATGAATGTGAGGAATTAGGAATGGGACTAAAAATAAGGAGTGAGGGTTAGAACCTACAGTTTGGCTTCTTATGACAAATAAACAATTGTCACAATCCACGAATGCAACGCGAATGACCGAACATAGCGCTAAAGTTCAAGGCCCACTGCTTTTGGTTTCGTCCGTAAACTATAGTCTCGTCGAAGCACAGTGCGGTGAACCCAAACGTCGTCTGGTGTGAATGCACAACGGAGCACTTCCAGCTATGACTGTATCCAATCTATCAAATGAGAACGAGGGGTTAGAGAACTACTTATTTGCGGTAGTTTTTGCTGTTGCAACTCTTTTACGCATTACAAGTGTGGCAGTAAACAAAGCACAATGATCAATCGATCATTTGATGCTGACCTCATTAGTTTTAATGATTCACCTAGCTGAGGGCTCTCTGTCACGCATCCGCACCAGATCACTAATAGGTATACTGTGCTACGCATCACTTTCAATTGTTAGCCAGCTTAGACAAAACGTTTATCGACGGTCCAATAGCTTTTCGAATAACTCTCCGAATTCCATGATCCCTGACTTCTGATTTGACAGTGTTAGCATGTCAACGTGTTGCTGGTGTAGTGACCTACTTTTTTTTAGGGAACGCTATTGGTATTATGGAAACAATTATTATTATGACAAATTGTACCAGTGATTGTTCCACTGTACCTGTTTGTTTAAGTGTACCAAAAACTTGGTTATATCCCTTGTAGACAAAATATCAGAAGGCGGTTACTTTACCGGTGCTTGATCTCCCTGCTGTGGCTGCCGCCCAAGCAAGCGACACCTCCTGTACAGAAGCACAACGCCTACCACCCAGCATCAAACGGTTTAGTTGAACGTTTTCATCGTCAACTCAAAAGTGCTCCTCAAAAACGACAAGTAGTACAAAACCTTACCGCTCGTCCTCTTTAGTATCAGAACGGGTTTGAAGGCAGATATTCAATGTTCCGCCGCTGAACTTGTATACGGCACGACATTGCGTCTGCCTGGGGAATTTTTCACACCACAGAGCAGCAATAATTTTTGTAAATCAGACTACGTCCAACGATTGTCTGAATTTATGCAAACAATGCCTCCAGTGTCGTTTAAATATAATATTGACAGGTCGCTCTTCACCGAGAGTGATCTGCCTGTTCACATGTTTTCTTACGAGTAGATTCGGTACGCAGCCCTTTGCAACAGCCTTACGAAGGACCTTTTCACGTGCTCTCTCCTCACGAAAAGATCTTCATAGTTGTACAATATGGCCTCGTCGAGATCGTCAGCGTTTATCATCTCAAACCAGCACACGTCGATGACAGTGCCCTACCCGATAACTTGAGACTCAATGCTAGACCTATCAAACCTACTAACGGGATCTCTGCATCTACCTCGGATCCCACGCTAGTTACATTAGAGACCTCATTCTCACGTCCCGGTCAACAGCACGTGTCATCTGCACCATCCTAAAATTGCAGATTTATCATGATATTGTAGAAAGCCCATTCCATTCATGTATTATTTGTCTACACAACTGTGTTAATTTCCATATGAGTATGATTGCGCGTGTGTCTGCACTTCAATCCCTATTCTATTCCCCATTGGTTGTGACACATAGATAATCAATAATTTATCTACACTTGATTGATACTCAAAAATATATATGAATCTTTTAACACAGACACACACACTTTGATTTTTGTCTCACTCGGTGCTTGCTTGCTGTATGCTTGCGAACTTTACCAAGCTTTAACAATAAACTATCTCTATAACTGATTTTGGGGCTTTTTAATGATCTCGAGTAAATCGATAATTCTACTAGGAGATTAAGCCTGTATTAAATACTCGGTTAATGAGATATTTTTATTTGGAGTCGAATATACAGGAAATTTATCTCAACAAACTTGGTTAACCTCTACAAATTGGTGAGCCTCATTTAGAACACTCACCAGTTTCTCTACAAAGTCTGCTGCATATTCTCCAATCATAAAGAACTTCATATTGGAATTACTATTGCAATTATTAACAATACATTGACAGTCAGTAAATTCACCTACAACATTGTTCTTCTGGAATTATTGCTTTATATTTGCCTATTTAAACCCAAAGTGACTTTTTTTCGGTGAGTCTCATATATATTTCTTGTTGCTATTTTCGACTTATTCATATCATATATTTCAATCCTCAGCTTATTATTATTGCTATTGCTATTATTTCTTTGTATCATGTCACTTGATAATTCACCAAGCCTTTCATCTAAGTCTATTTCCGTGGGTGCCATCTCTGTACCTTTACCTGTCTTTAATCCCCGAAAGGCTGAACTATGGTTTGCACGCTTAGAAAGCTTTTTTTGTTGCAAACAGAATCACAAATCAGAACACAAAATTTAGTTATGCAAACTCATTGCTGCCAGACGATGTTATAGAACAAGTGTCTGACGTCATTTTTAAACCGGATCCAGACTCACCATACGATTTTCTAAAAAGAGAGGTCATTTGTGTTACATCTCTCACTGACCAGCAAACAATTGATCAATTTTTAGCTAATGTAGAGCTAGGTGACAGTACACCATCTCAATGGAAACGCCACATGACAAATTTATTGGGGAATCGTACAGTAGATAAACGTCTATTGTATCAATTGTGGCTCGGACGTCTCCCACAAGACATCCAACAGATACTAGCAATCGGAGACGAGGATATAGATTTTGATAGGCTAGCAGATATAGCCGATAGAATTTACGAGTGAACTAGGACGCACTCCGTATCTCACATACAATCAAACTCATCTGAAGAGATCGCCGAGTTGCGACGAACAGTCGAAGTCCTCGCTAATCAGATAGCTCAGCTCCAATTTTCGAATACGTCCCACAGCAAGCGGAAAAGAAGGTTCAGAATCCGTAAACGTCGTAGTCCAAGCACCACTCGACATAACATTTGTTGGTACCATAAAACGTACGGTAAGCAAGCTAAAAATGTACTCCTCCCTGTAATTTCGCAAGCACACAACAAAGAGACCATCATGAACGTCGGTTACTGACGACTGCAGTCGCTGAACACAACTCTCAAAGCAGTCGCTTGTTATATGTTGCAGACACAAGGACTGGAACACAGTTCTTAGTCGACACTGGGGCAGAGGTTAGTGTAGTACCACCCACTACACTTGAGAAAAACACACCTGACCCCAAACTAAAACTACAAGTCGCAAACAAATCTGAGATCAAGACGTATGGCAAAAGGCAGTTACAATTAAATTTCGGTCCTAAATCTAATTTCTCATGGAACTTCATCATAGCTGACGTCCTCATTCCTATAATCGGCATTGATTTTTTACAATCCCATAAAATACTCGTAGATGTAAGAAATCGGAAACTTGTCCTTGCTGACCATAGCAGCGAAATTAGAGGGATTATTTCTAACGAGACGTCCATACATTTATTGATCAAGCCTCATCGCGAGAATGACACGTACGTTAGTTTACTTAATCAGTTTCCAGACTTATTACGACCGAGTTTCAAACGGGACAAACTGACACATACCGTCGTACATCATATAAAGACAGAGGGTCCACCAGTGTTCGCACGTCCAAGACGCCTTGACCCCTCTCGTTTGGCTCTAGCAAAGAACGAATTCAACAAAATGATAGAGTTGGGTATCATACGCCCCTCCGATAGTCCGTGGGCATCACCGCTCCATTTGGTACACAAGAAAAACTCTTCCGAAGTTAGACCTTGCGGTGACTATAGAGCTCTCAACAGCCGTACTATACCAGACAGATATCCACTTCCACATTTGCATGACTTCACTCATAGTCTATCTGATGTGACGATTTTTTCAAAAGTTGATCTCGTCCGCGCTTACCATCACATTCCAATTCACCCGGACGACGTTCCAAAAACAGCCATTACTACCCCATTTGGATTATACGAATTTGTTCGCATGCCTTTCGGATTAAGGAATGCTGCACAAAGTTTCCAGCGTTTTATCGACCAAGTAGTACGTGGCTTACCTTTCGTATATGCTTACATAGATGACTTTCTTATCGCAAGCAAAAATGAAAATGAACATCTAACTCATTTGAAAATGCTTTTTGAGAAGCTAAACGCGTATGGGTTAACAGTCAACTCTGACAAATGTGAGTTCGGAAAACAATCCCTCACCTTTTTAGGTCACGTAATTGATAGTCAAGGCATCAAACCAGTTCCTGAGGAAACGCAAGCCATCAAAAATTATCCTTTACCTGATTCATTCAAGAAACTACGACGTTTCCTTGGGATGATCAACTTTTACAGAAGTTTTATTCCAAAATGTGTAGACATAGCAAAACCGCTAACTGATTTATTAAGGGGACGAGCTAAATCATTGACAATGACACCGCAAGCAATTCAAGCATTCGAACAGTTAAAAAGCACATTAGGCACTGAGGCATTACTAGTACGTCGAAAGGTTGATGCACCTTTAGCAGTAATGACCGATGCCTCTAATGTAGCAGTAGGCGCTGTGCTTCAACAACAGGTCGATCAACAATGGCAACCCCTTGCTTTTTTCTCAAAAAAGCTAAACGCAAACAAAATATGGCACATTCGGTAGAGAACTGTTAGCTGTCTACCTAGCCATCAAACACTTTCGGTATATGTTAGAAGGCAATTCTTTTACGATATATACGAATCACAAACCTCTAACTAAGTCCTTGATGCAAAATCATGATAAATACAGTCCGGGCGAAATTCGTCAACTAGAATTCATTTCGCAATTTGCAGCTGATATACGATACATAAAAGGCAATGCAAATGACGCAGCAGAAGCACTGTCGAGATTAATTATCAATACATTCTCGATCCCTGATATAAACTATCAAGATATGGCAAAACAGCAAAAGCTCGATAGGGAGCTACAAAAGCTTTTGCAGTCTAAGGAAACGAAGTTATTATTCGAAAACGTCTCCATAAACAGCAAGGACATCTTAACTTGTGATACCTCAACAGGTAAAACTTGCCCTTTTGTACCTTGTGACATGAGACGAAACATTTTTGAGAAACCACACAACATATCTCATCCAGGTATAAAAGCCACTGTAAAGCTTATCACAGATAGGTTTGTATGGCCAAACATAAACAAAGATATACGAAAATGGTCACGGGAATGATTCC